GTAACAGGGTTGATGTTCCAGGAGGGATAAGCCAAATGACAAATGATTTAGGTAAACTAGAAAAATGGTCAGAATTGTGGCAACTGACATTTAATGTGGATAAGTGCAAGATAATGCATCTTGGACGTAAAAACCCAAGGGCAGAGTACAGAATATTTGATAGAGTCCTAACCTCAACATATGAGGAAAGGGATTTAGGGGTGATTATTTCTGATGACTTAAAGGTAGGCAGACAATGTAATAGAGCAGCAGGAAATGCTAGCAGAATGCTTGGTTGTATAGGGAGAGGTATTAGCAGTAGAAAGAGGAAGTGCTCATGCCATTATACAGAACACTGGTGAGACCTCACTTGGAGTATTGTACACAGTACTGGAGACCGTATCTTCAGAAGGATATTGATACCTTAGAGAGGGTTCAGAGAAGGGCTACTAAACTGGTTCATGGATTGCGGGATAAAACTTACCAGGAAAGGTTAAGGATCTTAACATGTATAGCTTGGAGGAAAGACGAGACAGGGGGGATATGATAGAAACATTTAAATATATAAAGGGAATCAACACAGTAAAGGAGGAGACTATATTTAAAAGAAGAAAAACTACCACAACAAGAGGACATAGTCTTAAATTAGAGGGACAAAGGTTTAAAAATAATATCAGGAAGTATTACTTTACTGAGAGGGTAGTGGATGCATGGAATAGCCTTCCAGCTGAAGTGGTAGAGGTTAACACAGTAAAGGAGTTTAAGCATGCGTGGGATAGGCATAAGGCTATCCTAACTATAAGATAGGGCTAGGGACTAATGAAAGTATTTAGAAAATTGGGCAGACTAGATGGGCTGAATGGTTCTTATCTGCCGTCACATTCTATGTTTCTATGTACTCCGAGGTGTTCTGGTTAAACTTGGATCTCAGGAAAAAAGGAAGGCGTGCACGATTCGATCATGACTTCGATCAAGCTTCCTCAACAGTTTTAAGTAAACGTATGATCAAAGTTAAACAAGAATTGGACACATTGGCCCTCTAGGATACTGAAAAACACTTAAGAGCCCTGAAACGCACATGTTATATGCATGGTAATAAATCTGGGAAATTATTGGCTGTGAAATTAAACTATCAACCAGGGCCGGACTGGCCCACCGGGATACCGGGAAATTTCCCGGTGGGCCGCGGCACCTGGGGCCGGTCTGACAGCCCTGATTATTGGGCTGACAGCTCCTGTGATCCCGGCGGCCATGTGTGAGCTGTGCGGCCTCAGAGAGCCCCATGGGAGGAGGGGGAGCCAGGCGGCCGGCACAGCTCCACATGGCCGGCCGGGATGAGAAAAATAAAAATAAATTTGCGGCGTGGCTTACGTGCGGCGGGGGCGTGGCTTGCGTGCGGCGGGGCGGAGCTTAGCGTGCGGCGGGGCTTAGCGTGCGGGGGGGCCCTGGCTGACTGCAGCATGGGAAGCAGGAAGGAGTTCCTGCTTCCCCAACAACCAGCCTCCAGGAGCTTCAAGCAGGAGGGAAGAAGCAGGTCAGTGTGTCTGTGTGACTGTCTGTGTGAGTGTGTGACTGACTGTGAGTGTGTGACTGTCTGTGAGTGTGTGACTGTCTGTGTGAGTGTGTGACTGTCTGAGTGAGTGTGTGACTGTCTGTGTGAGTGTGTGACTGTCTGTGAGTGTGTGACCGTGTGAGTGTGTGACTGACTGTGTGTGACTGTCTGTGAGTGTGTGACTGCCTGTGAGTGTGTGACTGTATGTGTGAGTGTGTGACTGTATGTGTGAGTGTGTGACTGTCTGTGTGAGTGTGTGAGTGTGTGACTGACTGTGTGTGACTGTCTGACTGACTATGTGTGACTGTCTGAGTGTGTGACTGCCTGTGAGTGTGTGACTGTCTGTGACTGTCTGTGTGTGTGTGACTGTCTGTGCCTGTGAGTGTGTCTGTGTGAGTGTGTGACTGCCTGTGTGAGTGTGTGTGACTGTGTGTGAGAGTTTGTGACTGTCTGTGTGAGTGTGTGACTGTCTGTGAGTGTGTGACTGTCTGTGAGTGTGTGACTGCCTGTGAGCCTGTGAGTGTGTGATTGCCTGTGTGGGTGTGTGATTGTCTGTGTGAGTGTGTGACTGTCTGTGTGGTGTGTGATTGTGTGTGACTGTCTGTGTGTGTGTGTGACTGTCTGCCTGTGTGTGAGTGTGTGACTGTATGACTGTCTGCCTGTCTTTGTATGTGTGGGTGTTTGCCTCGGTGTCAGTGACTGTCTGCCGGTGTGTGTGTGTGACTGTCTGTGAGTGTGTGACTGTCTGTGTGTGTGTGACTGTCTGCCTGTGTGTGTGTGTGACTGGCCGGGGTGGCCGAGGCTGCTGCAGGGGGACTGCTGGGGTTTCAGGCAGTCCCCCCTGACAGGATCGCCGGTCCAGGTAAGTCCAGAGCTCCTATTTGCCACGGACGTACTAGTACTTCCACAGTTGTTAAGGAGATATATGTATTTATAATGTCATTCTAAATGTATTTTTAATGTCATTCTAAATGTATTTTGATTTAAATATATATGTATATTAATATCAAAATAGAACAAATTTAAACCAGTATATAAAATTTTTCTTCAATTTAATTTCATTATTTTTTTCAATTTCTTTATTTTTATACATATATATATATATATATATATATATATAAAATTAACATCATTCTAAGTGTATTGTAATAATATATATATATAATTATATATATTAATATTAAAATACACTTAGAATAATGGATTGTGTATGTGTATATAAAAGTACTTAGATCATATATATATATATATATATATATATATATATGATCTAAGTACTTTTATTAACTTCATTAAACTTTTTATTGACTTGCAAAACGTTTTTGCAGGCACGAGGGGGACAGCCTGACAGCTCAGGCAGTCCCCCTGCCGGCACTACACAAGCCGGCTATTCCGGCCATGTGATTGCGAGGACCTTACGATCACATGGCCCGGATCAGCTGAAGGGGGACTGCCTGGGATGCAAGGCAAGTCCCCACATTGTGATCACCAGCGTGGGATCTCCAGCGATCAGGTAAGTGCATATGTCCCGTGGACATACCAGGTACGTCCGAGGTCACTAACGACTGTTTTTTGTCTTGCGTACCTGGTACATCTGCGGTCAGGAAGGGGTTAATTTTAGGGAAGTGATTGGGGTGTGGCCAGGGGCAGGTTTGTTTTGAGAAATTTGAGGTGGATTACTAGTAACAATTTATGTAACTAAAATGTAATTTAAAACTAGAACAATGTATCTTATTTATACAAACTGATTTCTAAACACATTTAGTGTAGATTAAAGATATGTTATGCACTCAGAAATACCAACAATATAGAGCTCCTAGAAAAGAGGGACAGAGGGATTTGGGCGCAAAATAGGAACAGTTGGGAGGTATGCTGTCTATGCTGAGATCCTAGTTCTACAAAGATATTGTAGGTTGTTATAGTTTTGGTCAATTTTAGCCTGGTCTATTGTTTGCAAACACCATTGCATGTGCTTTGTTGTTGTGGCTAGTTATGAGCTGGATTGGGGTAACTGTACATTAACATTACAGTATAGAACAGTATCGCTAAGCCTTTAGCTCCCCTGTCCCTAGTCAAATTTTGGACCCCCTTCTCATATTTGCCATAAAAATGAATAAATTAAAGCTTTTAACTTACATTTTAACAGGACTGAGACTCCATCTGTACTGCTCACCTTTTCTAGGATGCATGGCCTCCTTCGCAATGATCCAATCCAGTGCTCCCCCAATAAGAGCATTGGAGAAATGAAGCGCATGCACAGCAAGTGCCGTCCACACTCAAGCTTTCCAATGGAAAAAAACTTTATATTTAGGGCTTTAGCTTCACATGACTGAGTTTTAATTGGTCAGTATATTTGAAGCAGCTATAGTTTTTGTCAGTATGACACACACTACAAGTGGAATTAACCAAGCAATGTAAACACGGACGTTTCTATCATAAATTAGTTTTTAAAAAGTGTTTTACAATGCAGGGTTAACAGGACAGGGACCACTTAAGATAAAGTGGTCTGGGTAGCTATGGTGTACCTTGTAATTGATCAACTACTAGATCCTAATAATGTTCCCTATATCTACTGCTTGAGGGTGCAAAGCAGTGGTTTCCAAACCAGTCCTCAAGGCACGGCTACAAGTCCAGGATTTAGGGATTACTCAGTTGTGTCAAGATTTGGTGAAAACACCTTAGACATAACTCTGTAACCCCTAAAGCCTGGACTGGTAGCATGCCTTGAGGACTGGTTTGGGAAACACTCTACCTGTGTGTTTTGTAAATACCTCATCGCATGTCCCACAAATAGCAAATGAATAAAAGCTGCCATGTATTGGGCACAAGTCTGGCTCTGAAAGAGTTAAGCAAAAACCTGCACGTTTCATTCCTACATTTGCCAGGTATACTCGCTGTATGGATAACTTTGCCTATATGCAAATTGAACTTGTTGCTTGCAAAGCCATTGACTGGGTTTACATTGAAAAGTGTGGAGGGACAGGTTGTAGACATGAGAACAACTACATTAAGCTATAGTGGTTCTGGTGACTATAGTGTCCCTTTAAGAATTTTATTTTTGACATTGAAAAAAACTGGCTCCTAGTTTCAAAGCAAATTTGTCAATCCCTGTTTTATGGGAAATTGGAATATCGGATTACGCACCATCGGATTTTCTATTTCAAAGTTTAGCAAGTACAAAAAAGTTATTCTAATTTGTTATGGTAGCGTTACATTTTTACTGGCTTTGATATAGTTTTGACCCACTAAGGAGCTTTGTCAAGCTTTTCAAAGAATACAAAAGGATCTAATCAATAAAGCCGTCCTAATATGGTGGTGAAATAACGGCCTTCAATCACTATAGTCTAGTACTGTGGGTAACAAACTGAAACATTTAATGTAAACATGTAGAGTGTTTTCTATAACAAACTAGGACCACCAAAGAGGAAGGATTTTTCATCTACTGGATGGGGAATACAGAAATCAGATAGTCAATGGGGTTTATTCACTAAAGTAACTTGCAACAATTTGAAAATTTAGGTTAATATAGCCAACCAACAACAACAACCAAGTTGAAGATTATTAGTTTGATACATAAACAATATTTTTTTGCTTACATTTTGCAATTCTGTTTTCACCACAGTACATTCAATATTTATTGAATAAATCCTTTGAGTGGAAATACAAACTGGAAAAAATATTCTTTGGTTTTAAATGTCAACAAAACAACACAACATTTATTAAAAGGGTTTTCTATGCACCATAACTACAATCCACTGTTAATGGTTTCAGTATATGCAGAATAAATAACAGTTCAGGCACTCCAGAGTGACAGAAATAGCAGCATTATTGAGGTGAAAACAGCAATGTTGCGACCATACCGGGTCTTTGTCAAGCTTGGTAAGGACCCAGAACGGTCGAAATGTTGCTGCATTTGCCCGAATAAAGCTGCTATTTCTGTTATCCCGGAGTGCCTGAACTGCTATTTATTCCACATATCTTGGAAGGGAGGCCTGGCCAGCCCAGGCTTTAGATCAACTGGGTTATTTGGTGATTGCGGTATCCAGTACGTCTCTTCTGTTAATGGTAAACATGGAAGGAATCCCCTGGCGCCATCCCCCATTAAGGAGTCAAACCATTTGTCAAAGATTTGACACTTACATGGGTTCTTCCAGTCATTCAGGACTTTTTGATACAGCGAATGGATAGGTTCTCATTCTACATGAATTATATGTAACTTTTGACAGTGTTCATTAGTGGAACGTGCCAGATGACATTTTGCACAAAACTATTATATTGGTTATGGTGCTAAAAATAGTAATTTAAAAGGACACACGAATAACTACAGCTTAATGTAGTGTCTATAGCATGTCCCTGTAGGCTTTTAAAGGTAAACACTGCCTCTTCAGAGAAGGCAGTGTTTACATTATTGTCTAGTAACACTTATAGTAGCAGTCACAACTACGTTCAGCTGAACATTCCCCATATAATGCATTTCTATGAGTAAAGTGTTCCTGACACTATATAGTGTTCCTTTAAGTATTTTCCAGAAAACAAAACAAGGTCAACGAGAAGCAAAAAAAAATTAAAAAAAATGCTCTCCATATATCAACAATGAATGACATGGTACCACTTTAATAAAAATGTATGTTCTTACTATAGCTAGCAAAACTGCTAGCACACCCACAGAGCACATTTTATTTCTGGATCTTTATTTTAGACAATGCCTAAACCTGGATGTACATGTCTGTTTTTCCCATACCACTAATTTGTAGCAGTAGGCTGCACAAAGCATTAAGAGGCAGGCAGAAGCTTTTGCATGTAATGTGGCCACCATTTTGGTAGTGGAGGAGGTATCTTGAAAGGACAAGTAAAACATTTTCATGAATGGTTTATAGGCAACCTGGAAATTGTTTTTAACTCGGATAGTTGAACCTTAAAAGGACAGTTTAGACACCATAACAACTTCATCTAAATTAAGTTATAGTGCCAGGAGGACCCCTGGAGCACTGTTAGTTCAAGCGGTTTATACCCAAAGTTGCTCCCAGTTTCAAGAAGCGCAGCATTGGAGGCAACTTTGGGTTTAAAATATTCAGGAACAGTTAAACCTTTTGAGGTATGACTGTGACCGAGGGTCTCCTGGCATCATAACTTAATTTAGATTAAGTTGTTATGGTGCCTGAAGTGTTCCTTTAAGATGATGCAAGTTTCCTTTTTCTTCTTTAAAATTCATTACACCTCAGTACTAAAAAAAAAAAAAAACTACAAAAACGGTACAAGATTCGCTAAAACCATAATTGGAAAATATTATTTTTATTCCTCTTTCATACTAATACAGGATTGCCTTTAACCCATAGAAATATGCAAAGGCCAAAGCCACCAATTCACAGAAAACCTTCAAGAGAGAACAGGTTAAGTTGCGCTATTTTGGTTTAAAATGTTACATTTACGTCACATTTCCTACAACTCAAATTTTGGTGAATAGACCTGGAGTATTGGCAGAGATAGAACGGCTGCTTCCTGGATGAAACATATAACTGGAATAAGGGGTTTGGCCTAGGAAAGCCAATAGTTTATTCATTAAACAATGAAATGTGAACACATTTTTCAACTAAGCCAAAACAGTCAAGTTGAGAATACAGGTGAACTGCAGTATTTTGTCAACGCAGCTCGTTTAAACGTAAGAGTGAAAACCTTTCTTGTTAATTTACTTTTAGAAAAAAAATACAACCCTTTTTTGTGTGACAAATAATGCATTTAAAAAAAAAAAAAAGCAAAAAAACCCAAAAACCAGTTTTATACATATATAAAAATGCTTTAACAATTGGTGGTAAAATCCACCCTGGTATGTCTTTCAAAAAACAAACAAAAACACACATTACTGTTAAATACATAGAAAGATGCTCATTTAATTTTTCACTTTTTTTGTATCTTCTTCTTGCCAAATCTTTTCTTTTTGATGCCTCTAGAATGTCGATCATTCATCCAGTTATCTCTATCTGATTCCCACTTGAGTTGCTTGACACTTGCATTGTCCCTATTGGCCACTGCGTTTATCCCAATATTATTGAATTTTGAGCCAGAATTTTCATCCAAGATGTCTCCAAACTCCTCTGCAACGGCAAATACGTCCTCATTCTTTACCTTTCTCTTCTTTGCTTTCTGTGCCTCTGGTTTTTTATCCTCATCATTATCTGAAGGATCCATAAAAAGTCCACCAGATTCATCTTCAAAATCTTCCTCACACATACTGCCCAAAGAGACTTCTTCATCTTCAGCATCAACATCCCAATCGGAGTCAGAATTCTCTTCTTCTGTGGACTTCTTTCCAGTTTTCTTGTCTGGTTTGACATTACCAGCAAAATCAAGATCCGCAGGATCAGTGTTACCATTGTAAAAACTGTCCCCTTCAAATGTATCGAGAATCTGATCAAATTCATCGTCATCTACATCTTCTATGCTACCTTCGTCTTCATCTCGTTTAACCCTCTTTTGGTCTTTTGATACCCTTTTGAAGTATCTGTGAAAGAATACGTCATCTACAGGTATTTCCGTTTCTTCCTTTTCAAGAAACTCAGCACTGTTAACAAGTTGCCTCTGTTCAGTCATGTACAACTTCTTCTTTTGATGCATTAGATAGCCACGATTTTCTCCTACTTTTGGCAGTTTTGGATTACGATACACAAAACGATCCAAAAATCTCATCAGTGTGAAGTCTTGCAAAGGGTCACCTGTATATTGAACTGGATTTCCCTCCAAGATGGTTTTTGCAAACAGGGCCACAGTTGGATGAAAATGATCAGAAAGTTTCCTGAGTTCCCAAAGACTGGTGTTATCGGCTCCACAAAATAATGGGTTTCTATTAAGGGGATCATAACTATTGGCATTTTTTAAACCTTGGAGCGTTTGCTGGTGTATCCATGAACCAGCATTATCTTTCGTTGGAGATGTCAAGGTTTTCTTCTGTTCTTGCTCATCATCTTCCTCATCTGGTGCATCGCAGAAATGTTCTTCATCATCCTCTTCCCCGTTTTCTTGAAGCAGAACTTTCAAACCTGGTTTAAGTCTTATAACCTCTGAGATTAGATATAAGGCTCCACAGACAAAAGATGGCTTTTGACAACAGGTGATTTGTAACAGTCTCTTCACAAATGCCTTTACTCGCCTCAGTACAACATCTGCTTTCATAGACTTGAAGAGAAGATTAAGAAACATGGTCTGCTTTGAACCCTGTGACAGGCCAGGATCCAGTAGCTTTTTGTACAGTGCTGCATAGTATCTATTTGACACTGTTTGTTGAGAGTCCATGACTTGAAAGAGCAACATGAGAATTTGCACCCCTGTATTAAAGTTGACAACATGTACAATTTTGAAAAGTGTATCCAACTGCTCTTTAACTTTCTCACTCCCAATATTTGCATACGGATAAGCCCTGTTAACGCCGGTCAATAGACCCCGAAGGATTTTAGAATCAATATCCTTTTTTTTAATGCATGACTTGAAAAAACAAAAATACAACGTTATCAGTTGATTTGCCAAGTCGGCTTCTTCGTGTGAAAACATGATTTGGTTTAGAAAGCAGATTCCGTAATACTGCGCCTTTTCACTCACATTGGGGCGATGCAGCAGCCTTTCAATTTCTAAGCAAACAACTACTTTCATGTTTGGATGCTTGTTAAGCAATACTTCGAGCAAATAGGAAGCTTTGGTGGCAATTCTGTATTGAGGATCACCTAGTTTATTAACCAGCAGTACTAGGAGAGTTTTCTCCTCTTCTGGCTTATTGCAGAGAAGCTCATGAGCCACATTCAATGCCTTCGCCTTGGTTGCAAACAAGGGGTCATGTGATAAGCCTTCCAGGACTTTCACAAACTCCACTACTTGCTTCTTCAGCTGTTCTTCAAAATACCACAGTACGAGTCTCCGATCTCTTGCATCCCTGTTGCCGCTGGACATTTCTTCCAGCTTGTCAAAAGGATGATGTTCAAATGCAAAGAGTTTGCGGTTGTCAGGTAAAAGATCTGAGAGAAGCAGATCTTTAAAAGTGTCCAATGCCATTAGATTCTGGCGTTTGCTACCCTTCTTCCTTAACATGTTCAGTAGGTTTTCCAATAATCGTACGGTGTGTATGGGTGCATCTTGAAGGAGTACTGTCATGGCTGCCATTCTATCAGGAATTGTGCCGGTAGATACCACAGTATTCATCCAAGCCGAGTTTGCTCCTTTCCGGTGTTCCTTCTTAGTTTTATACAGGACCACTTCATGTTCATACAGCTTTTCAGCCAAAGATTTATATTTGTTTACGTCTTCTGCATTTTGAGGCTGCGAACTATATTCTTTCGTGTACTCGTGGTCATACCATTTTCCACCTGGTTTAATAAGTAATAGTGTCCTTTCAATAAGTTCAAATGTTGGCCGCCCTTTGCTTTTGGAGGCAGCGGACGTACTCGCTTCTTTCTTCTTAGCCTTTTTCTTTGCTTTTTTTTCGGACTCTTTATTTAATTCTGTGTCAGCTTCTGTTTTCTTACCTTTCTTTGGTTTGGTCTTCTCTGGGCCGGCCTGTGTCTCTTTCTCTTCCCCCACTGCTTCTGTCTCATCCTCCTTTGCTACAGCCATGGATAATTTGGGTAACCCCAACTTGTTAATGAAAGCCTGCAGTTCTCCATCTTCCAGATCATCAATGACACCCGCTTTCTTCCCACCATCCACCAACTCATCCACCTCCTCCAGACCTGCCAGCATGACGAAGTCATGCTTGGTGCCTCCTAAACGCAGCACCTCTTCCAGAGTGAAGTCTCCCTCCTGGCCACCTTCCTCCATGTCCCCGTCCTCCTCCATGTTCGCGGTTGCGGGGCTCTGCCCCAGGGTCGAGCTTTTCATGCTGCGCTGGCTGTGCTGGCGGTGCACAGGGACTCGCTGTCTGGGACTGACCCGAGAGAAGACCCACGTGTGTCTCGCGACCTGTGAAGCCGGAAGTAGCTAGGTCCTGCCCGCACCGTGCATGGCCGAACCTGCTTCTCCATGGCAGAGTAGTGTAACATTGCTCTAGTGGGCAAACAGACCCCGTGTAACGTTACTGCCTGCAACCATCACCTGATAAAAAATTATTTGTCTCTATTTCAGTGTATTATGTGGGTTTATTATCAATCTGTTCTATGGCCTGACAGGACCTGAGTGTAAAGGTCACAGTGCTAATAGGAACGCCTATAGGAAATGCACCCTTACTGAAAGTATGTCTGACTTGGCAGCAGTGAGAAATGGCTATAATGTCATTATGAATCACCAGGGATACTTTCTGACTTTATACCATTTATAAATGGGACAGGATGGCTGTAACACACCTGAACCGTGAATTGTTATCATGATAAATATTATTAATTTAATGATAACTGCTCTACACATTGGGATAATTCACTGATTTAGCGTCTGACACTCAGACAGAGGATTATTCAGTTTATGTATTTTTGTTTCTGTTTACCACGCTTCCCATAATGTTCCCAGCTGGCTGGCCGAGCATCATAGGAAACGTTGTTCATGTAGTGCCATAGGTTATATATCCCTGCCATAGGTTATATATATATCCCTGCCATAGGTTATATCTATCTATCCCTGCCATAGGTTATATATCTATCTATCCCTGCCATAGGTTATATATATCTATCTATCCCTGCCATAGGTTATATATATATCCCTGCCATAGGTTATATATATCTATCCCTGCCATAGATTATATATATCTATCCTTGCCATAGATTATATATATATCCCTGCCATAGGTAATATCTATCTATCTAGCCCTGCCATAGGTTATATCTATCTATCTATCTATCTATCCCTGCCATAGGTTATATATATATCCCTGCCATAGGTTATATATATATCCCTGCCATAGGTTATATCTATCTATCCCTGCCATAGGTTATATCTATCTATCCCTGCCATAGGTTATATATCTATCTATCTATCCCTGCCATAGGTTATATATATCTATCTATCTATCTATCTATCCCTGCCATAGGTTTTATATATATATATCCCTGCCATAGATTATATATATCTATCCTTGCCATAGATTATATATATATCCCTGCCATAGGTAATATATATCTATCTAGCCCTGCCATAGGTTATATATATCTATCTATCTATCCCTGCCATAGGTTATATATATATCCCTGCCATAGGTTATATATATATATATATATCCCTGCCATAGGTTATATATCTATCTATCTATCCCTGCCATAGGTTATATATATATCCCTGCCATAGGTTATATATATATATATATATCTATCCCTGCCATAGGTTATATATATATCCCTGCCATAGGTTATATATATATATATATCCCTGCCATAGGTTATATATCTATCTATCTATCTATCCCTGCCATAGGTTATATATAGCTTAGACCAGAGCTTCCCTTCCCCTGCATGAGAGGAGCATGTCAGGGTTTGAAGTACCCCTGCCTCCCCTCCTCTAAAATAAATAAATCTATAAATAAAAACTATTTTTTAAACATAACATATTGAGCTGCTGTGGGAGCTGGTACCTCCAACATGGCGGCAGCGCCCTGCCAGTTACGTCACACGGCTTCCTGCGCACAGCACTGACCCACTTCCGGTGTTCTATCAAATTTCCCTACCCCGTTAGAAAACCCTACCCTCGTCACTTCCGGTGACGAAGCCGCACCGGAAGTGACGTTGGGACGGGGGTGTGCGCAGGCGCACACCACCTAGGTAGGGACTTTGAACAGCGAGGAGTCGCATAAAGGCGCAGTGCGCACGCGCGCCAAACTACTCCCGTCGGAGGTACAGCGCGCGTGCGCACTTGGGGACAGGGAGCGCTTCACAGACACCGCGCATGCGCACTATAGGGGTAGGGAAATCTGATGGCGATTAAGCCCTTTGAAATCTCCCTACCCCTATACTGCGCATGCGCGGACTGGACTCTGATCGTCTGAATAAAGCCTCTCCCTGCTCCCAACACACTCAGCCATCCAAGGGGAGGGGGTACTATATTAGGGGGGGTTTCAGTGCATTATATTGGATAGTGGGGGGTTTTCTACATTATTGTATGGGGGGTCTGCGCT